TTCAAACTTCATGTGTACTATTTTCAAACCCAACACCAACTAAAACATAAATTCATTTCTGGACATCTTAAAAGAATAACCATTTCTGATGTACAGTTTGCCACTGCAGATCAGTATTGCTCTATCTCCTTCAAAACCCTGAGATCAGGGCTTCCCTGGTGGCGCAGTGGTTGAGAGTCCACCTGCCGATGCAGGGGACATGGGTTCGTGCCCCGGTCCGGGAAGATCCCACATGCCGCGGAGCAGCTGGGCCCGTGAGCCATGGCCGCTGAGCCTGCGCGTCCGGAGCCTGTTGCTCTGCAACGGGAGAGGCCACAACAGTGAGAGGCCCGCGTACCACAAAAAAAAAACAAACCCCTGAGATCAGGAAATTGGAGCTGAAAGAACTTGGGATGTAAGCTAAGTATAAAGCCATCACTCATGTCTAATCAAGAGACAATCCTTATTTGTAGCAATTTGCATTCTCAGAAGGCATATTTCTTTTCATCTGAAGCACACTGCTGTGACTTTTGTATGTTAGTTACATCACTGGCTAAAGTGTCATAGTTTGATGTGCACATGAGCTAACTCCATTCACAGTTACAAACTAACCTTTACATTCAACTGCCATTCTTTTAAAATCTGTGCCCAAGACTGCAAGCAGGTGAGATTGTGGATGGCTTTTCTAAGTCCATCACCATTGCTAAATATAATTCAAAGTGAATTCATATTAACAATGTGGGGATAAATATATCTGAGAATAAAGACAGCTCCCTGTTATCAACAGCAATGTCCACTAACCAGCCATGTATTTGGCGTGGAGAGCAAATAATTTAACCAAAGCAGCGTTTGTTTCCTTTTTGACAAAATTATAAGTTACATCGGATCATATGCTGCGGTGCTCAATAAATTTCTCAAATACATTTGTATTTCTAAAGAAATTTATACTTTTACATTTCCAACATTTTATTTCAGTTTGATAAACAATAGTAAAAACTTAATCAAAATTCAGCAAAAATTTTCTACATCCAATTTTCACCACATCTCACCTATTTGTAATCTGGGATACAAAATTTCAAAAATATCAATTGAATTGAAGGTTGAGTTTGCATAAGATACACCATTCCTTATCCTAAGGATCTATAATGAACGAATGAAATAATAAATTTTGGTGTAAAATTTTTTACATTCCTCTTCCTAAAAAAATAGATTTTCTCAAGAAATTAAACACCCACCTCTAAAAGTTATGAATATATTATTAAAAGGGCATTAATTTATTCATTTCTTCAGTTTAACAACTAGGAATAAGATGCCAGGAAATACCGTTATCCTATTAGCCCGAGGAGGAAACTACAGCCCAATGATCACCAACACCTATGACCATAATATAAAATAATACAAAACAGATGCTTTAGACAGATGTTCCTAAATACCTGATTCTCAAATGCTTGACCCATTTGCTGTAATTCAATAAAACAAATGAAGCACCTACTAATATTGTTACATTAAAATAATGAAGTATGAGGCCAGTGCTTGGCCTCATCTGAAAAATTGTTACTATGACGAAAAATGCAGGCAGGTCCCCTGAGACACCAAAGTAATGAAGAGTTAGCTAATTCATGAGTTACTATTTCTGCGGCACTACTTTGTGAAAGGGACTAGTATATGCAGGGATTCTACAGGATAAGCACGCCAAGAAAAACTAGGTTATCAAAATCCATGAAACTCTGCTCAAGTTATCCGGCTGCTTCTGAGTGTCTGGGGCCTTCTCAAAGAGCCACCTGGCCAAAAAGTGCTCAAATGGCAGAGAGAGGGAACCATCTGCCCCGCCATGTTCAAACCACGACACAGCTCAAAACATCACAATAGAGCATGGACCACAAGGGCCAATGTGCTAAGGAAGTGTTTCTATAAAAAGGCATTTGCACTGACAGGAAGTGTTAAACAAGTGCCTATTCGCTAATGAAAGAGATACTCTCATCTTTCATTCGTTATTATGAATGTCTTCTACCTCATCTTGAGGGAAGCACCTTCGTGGGGAAGGCACTCCTTCCTGACTCACCTTTGTGGTCCCACAGTGATGCCATACACATGAAACACAGGCTTCTGATATTAAGAGCACATTAAACCTGGCACAAAATAAGCTTTATCTGAGGGATTCTGCTGCATTAGGAGACATGTCCAGGGGACAGGACTACTTGGGATCTTCTGGGATCTCCCCCAGTGAGACGGGGCTCCATTTCCTTCTAACAGTTATTTGTGAGAGATATCCTATATGAACTTTTGATTTTAAATCCCTCCCTTAGTTTGCATCTTTCCTAAAATAGCATTTAAATGGACAGATTATGACAGCCTGTTGAGGTATTCCATTTACAATATGTCTTACAAAGAAAAGAACTGTGAAAAATGTTTAAAATTTCAAAGGGCAGTAATAATAAGTAATAACTTCTTGAGAAGTGCACAACTCAAGGGAATACTGAAGTTTAGCAAGAGTAAGTTTTGACAAAATACCTTCATTCTGCCCCCCCACCTTTTTTCGATAAGGTATCTGCCTAGCAGATCACAGAAATGTATACACATGGTAGACATGGAGCAGCAAGGATCCCACAAACCAGCCCATGAGATTCTTAAGGAACGTACAGAGAAATAAAGGTGGATTGACAGAGTAAGTGTTGTTTATGGTAGAAAAGAACACTGACTATGTGTTCCATAAGTGACTTCCATAAGTGAAACCCAGAAATCCAGACTGAAGAGAGGTTTGCTTCCAGAAAGTATAGACGAACTTTTTCACACTCTTTTTCTGAGAACGATAGAAAAGTTGTGAGGTAAAACAAAACAAAAAAGAACATCTATTTGAAGACACTGGCGAACGACTAAGGCAAATAAGGGAAGCCCATAGTCAAGATCCAAACTTGGCACTGTTTTTCCTTTTGAGGCATTTGCATATGTGTA